GTTCTGGCATTAGGAAATAAAAACACTTGTTGACTTTTATGCACTGCGAAACTTTTCTCATCTATAAACATGGTGATTGGATGAGATCAGCTCTAAGGCACCTCTGAGCTCTTGTTCCTGTAAGAGTCCTTTACAAAGTTTTAAATTCAGCAACTAATGCATAACTATAAAAACAGGCACTCTCTAGTTTTTCACAATTAAACTAAAAACTATAATAGCATGCTATTCATTTTAAAATTTCTGTCTTATAAAATGTTTTTAATATGTAATTAGACAATATTAAACATGTTTAGAAGATCTATTGCTTTTTCCTTAATATCATGGGCAACATATCTCTGCAAATTAGGGAATAACCTAAGTAGAAGAATAAATTATCTTTTCCATTTCCAAAAGCTACATTACAAATTAGGCTATAAAACTTTTGATAGATGCTCCTTGTTAATAAATTACTAAAAGTAAACCACAATAATTCATCAAATATTAAACTGTACAATTATTTATGTTCTAAAACAAACCATAACATTTTTCATTTCTCTTGGTTTTATTAAGTACATAAAGAGGAAGCAACAGAACTAGAGACAGACAACTGAAGGAAAGAAGAGAGTATGAAATCCGTAATAAGTATTTTATTATAGCTTGAAAAAACTCATTTAATTTTACTAAAAAAGGAAAAAATTTGGAAGAGATGCCTGAAATAAACATGACAAAGAATTTCTGTGTTATATCAATCAAAACCTGCAGATCTTGTAATTTCCTCACTTGTAGTAAGGCATATGTTCTCCATTTTTATCTTGCATTTAAAGTCTACAAAAGGCCCAGCACAGTGGCTCACATCTGTATCCCAGCACACTGGCAGGCTGGCATGGGCAGATCACCTAAGGTCAGGAGTTTGAGACCAGCGTGGCCTACATGGTAAAACCCTGTCTCTAATAAAAATACAAAAATTAGCCGGACACGGTGGCGGGCGCCTGTAATCCCAGATACTCGGGAAGCTAAGGCATAAGAATCACTTGAACCCAGGAGGAGGAGGTTAGGGTGAGATGAGATCATGCCACTGCACTCCAGCCTGGGCAACAGGGTGAGATTTTGTCTCAAAAAAATAAAATAAAATAAAAAATAAAGCCTACTAATCTGCAGTCTACAAAGTGCTTATAATAAAGGCAGATTTTTTGAAAAGAACCAAAAAATGGCTTTATTAAAAATCTTCACAAACAGCTCTGAAAATACTCACCAAATAAAATATTCCCACATTGTTGTACATAACTCAGAAGTTAGAAAGCAGTTTCACAGAGCTTATACTATTATCTCCAAAGTGGTTATTAATAATTTTTAAAGACTACTTCTGAAATACTTTTGAAAACAACTGTTTAAATTTCCGATGTTACAACTTTAATAGCGTTAAATCAGAATTTAGTCCAACGGAAACAGATCTTAATAAGCCAGAGGGTTCAAGGGACTTGCCTGAGTCCAACATTTGTGTGTTCTTTCCACAACACCACAGGTGGAATTTAGAAATCGTCAATAAATAAATAAATAAATAAATAAACAGGTTTAAATGTTTTATCACCAAATCTAGTAGGAAACTTTTCATTACTGATAAAAATGTAGTCATGGCAATGTACTAAGTATGCAAATACACAGGTTGCCAAGTTAATGGCTTATCTTACTGCATTAAGACACTAAAAAACTAAACTAAAATTTAATATAAAAGAATATGAGCTATTCCTCTCCCTGAGACTGTTCATTGCTATACCATCCTTTTATAACCTCTCCTCCTTTTTCTCTGAACAATTAAACATTAAGAATTATTTTCTAAGAGAAGTACTGGAATACTGGGGAGGGGAAGGGGAAGAGAGGAGGAACAGAGATCTGATTTATCTAAAAATTATCCTTAAAGCAACATTTTGGTTAACATGAACTTGACTTTACCTCCTTTTACCGTGCTTCACTTCACTGTACTAGTCAGATACTACACATTTTACAAATTGAAGGTTTGTGGCAAACCAGCATCAAGCAAGCCTATCAGTGCCATTTTTCTAAAAGCATGTGCTCACTTCATGTCTCTCCATGACACTCCGTGTCACAATTTGGTAATTCTTGCATTATCTCAAACTTACTCATTATCATTGTATCTGTCATGGTGATCTGTGATCAGTGTTCTGTGATGTTAAGATTTTAACTATTTTGGGACACCACAAACCATGCTCATATGAGACAGGGAACTCAACTGATAAATGTGTGTGTGACTGCTCCACCAACCAGCATTGTCTCTCCCTCTCCTCAAGTCTCCTTATTCCCTGAAATACAACAATATTGAAAGTACGCCAACTGATAACCCTACAATGGCCTCTAAGTGCTCAAGTGAAAGCAGGAGTTTCAAATCTCTCCCTTTATATCAAAAGCTAGAAATGATTCAGCTTAGTAAGGAAGCCATGTCGAATGACCTGACAGCCTAAAGCCAGGCCTCGGTGTGGCCAACAGTTAGCCAAGTTGTGAACGCAAAGGAAAAGTTATTGATAGAAATTCAAAGTGCTACTCCAGTGAACACATGAATGATAAGAAACCAAACAGCCTTACTGCTGATATGGAGAAAGTGTAAGTGGTCTAGATGGAAGACAAACCACAACATTCCCTTAAGCCAAAACCTAACCCAGTATAAAGCCCTAACTCTCTTCAATGCTATAAAAGCTTAGAGAAGTGAGGAAACTGCAGAAGAAAAGGCTGAAGTTAGAGGATGGTTCATAAGTTTTACGGAAAGAAGCTATTTCCTGAACATAAAAATGCAAGGTGAAACAGCAAGTACTTATGCAGAAGCTGCAGCAAGTTGTCTAGCTATTATAAGATCACTGAAGAAGGTGGCTACGCTCAACAACAGATTTCAATGAAGACAAACAGCCTTCAATTGGAAGAAGATGCCATCTAGGACTTTCATAGCTAGAGAGAAGTTGATACCTGGCTTCAAAGCTTCAAGGACAGGCTGACTCTGTTGTTAGGGGCTAATGTAGCTGGTGACTTTCAGTTGAAGGCAACGCTCACTTACCATTCTGAAAATCCTACGGCTCTTAAGAATTATGATAAATCTACTCTGCCTATGTCCTATCAATAAAAGAACAAAGCCTAGATGACAGCACATCTGTTTACAGCATAGTTTTTACTGCATAATGTAAGCTCATTGTTTAAACCTAATCCTTAGAAAAAAAGATTTCAGAATATTACTGCTCATTGACAATGCACCTCGTCACCCAAGAGTTCTGGTGGAGATACAAAAGAAAATGAATGTTTTCATGACTGCTAACAATATCCATTCCGCAGTCCATGGATCATGGAGTAATTTTACCTTGCAAATCTTATTTCAGAAATAAGTTTTGTATGTCTATAGCTGCCATGGATAGTGATTCTCTAATGGATCTTGGCAAAGTAAATGGAAAACCTTCTCGAAAGGATTCATCATTCTAGACGGCATTAAGAACACTGATGATTCATGGGAGGAGGTCAAAATATCAACATTAACAGAAGTCTAAAAGAAGTTGATTCCAAGCAGCACGGATGACATTAAGCAGTTCAAGATTTAGGTGGAGGATGTCACTGCAAGTGTGGTGGAAAGCAAGAGAACTAGAATTAGAAGCGGAGGCTGGGCATGGTGGCTTATGCCTATAATCCCAGTACTGTGGAAGGAAAAGGCATGAGGATCACTGAGAACAGAAGTTCAAAACCAGCCTGGTCAACATAGTGAGACTCCCTCTTCACAAAAGAAAAATTAAAAAGTTAGCTGGGCATGGTGGTGTGTGTCTGTAGTCCCAGGTAAGGAGAAAGCTGTGGCAGGATTGCTCAAGCCCAAAAGTTTGAAGCTGCAGTTAAGCCATGATTGTGCCACTGCACTCCAGCTTGGGCGACAGAGTAAGACCCTGCCTCAAAAAAAAAAAGGGGGCGAATTAAGGAATTGCTATAATCTTTTGATAAAACAAACAGATACAGAGTTGCTTCTTATATATGAGCAAAGAAAGTGATTTTTTTGAGATGGAATCTACTACTGGCGAAGATGCTGTGAATATTGTTGAAATAGCAACAAAAGATTTAGTTGGTTGATAAACCCGTGGCAGGGTTTGAGAGGACTGACTGTTTTGAAAGAAGTTCTGCTGTGGATAAAATACCAAAGCGCCCCATGCTACAGAGAAATCTTGCATGAAAGTCAATTGATCCAGCAAGTTCACTATCTTATTTTAAGAAATTGTCACTGCTACCGCAGCCTTCAATAAACACCACTGGAATCGGTCAGCAACTATCAAGAGGGAGGTCACCAGCAAAAAGATTATGACTTGCTGAGGGCTCAGATGATGGGTAGTATTTTTTATCAAACAAGTATTTTAAAATTAAGATTGTACATTTTTTAGACATAGTACTATTGTACACTCAACAGAGTACAGTACAGTGCAAATATAACTTTTATATGTACTGAAAATCCAAAAAACTTATCTGACTTTATTGTAATATTTGCTTTACCTCAGTGATCTGGAACCAAATTTAGAATATCTCTGAGATATGCCTACATTTCCTTGATTCCTAATGTGAATATGATACATGTGAAAAATGAACCTAGTAAATAAGCAATTCAAACTATGTAGATAATAAACCTAAAAACCATATACACTGATACAGTCTTTGATATACCCTATGACAAAACACAGCTTAACAAAAAATATGTAATGCACGCAAATGTTAAATACCTTATATCTTGCAGCTATATTTAGCTCTCTACATAAGAAAAGCCCTGGGAAAACGTTTATACATATTTTAAAAGGAGAACGTTCCCGCTTTAAACAGTAACATTTTATAATAAAAATACTGATGCAACTGTTTCAGTATTCAAAAATATTTATTTCATTACAACTCTCTTCCCCCTCCCCCAACAAAGAGTTGAAGAATAATTTTCTTGTTAGAATCTTAAGCATAAAAAAACTGACAAAGTCAAAAAATAAAAAGATAAACTACCCAACTGTTTTATCAATGCTTTAATACAAATTCTGCAAAGGAGGAAGGGCTCAACAAAATATACGCCTAGCATTAAGTCAGAGAAGGCACAAACTTTCAAACCAATTAACTCAGAGTCTGTTTCAGTTTTGAAAAGTTCTTAAGCTTAAAAAAAAAAAAATCTAAGCTGGCTGAATTTTTACGAGGCAGGAATGAAATACTGAAGAGAGACATCTTCTTGAACCAAAACAAGATGAAGAAGAGTATTGTCCCAAATATTGCATAAAGCCGTTGTAGGATTTATTTGCTGACCCTCCAAAAACTGCAGAAGCTTCCGATTATCTACCCGCACTTGCACCATGCTGTCCAGGTCTCTGTTTTGAGGCACACCAACAGCCGACTTTGGAGGGTTTCCAAGATTTTTAAAATAACTTTTAATAGACACCACCTCCGTCTCTATGCTCAGGGTCATCCTGCCACTGAGGTTTGCTTCCAGCAGCACGTGACTGCCCACGTTCGCCATCCTCTCCACGATGCTCCTCAGCGTCCTCCAGCGCGGCAGGTGGATGCTCACGTCCGAGGCGCGCGGGCTGGGCGGCAGGCAGTCTCGCCACACTCTTCTGGGAAGCACCCGCACGGGCAGATCGTGCATCACGCTGCGAACACGGCCCAGGGGTGAGGCCAGCTCCACCACCACGGTGAGGCAGGGGCAGTGCTTGTGGGTGAGCTGCAGCTTCAGTGAGGACGCGCCCGCCGCGCTTCTCGCTGCCCTGGACAGGTGCTCCGCCGTCAGCTCCAGATGGATCTCATTGAGCCCTTCCGAGACACCTTCCATGCGAAACTGCTGGAAGGCCCGCTGCTGCACCTCGCACCACAGCCTGGCCTCCTGAAGGCCGCCTGAGCCCACGGAGCCGAAACACATCCTGTCGGGGCACACGCGGAGCACGCAGACCTTCACCAGTCTCGCCAAGGTGCTGCTGACTTGGATGAACAGGTCTAGAGAGCCCTTGCCTGTGATCTTAGCGCGAAACTTCATGATGTTGGCGAAGGCAACGCTGGGCCCTCTGAGGAGGATGCCACACGTTCACGCTCCCTTCCGGTCCACTTGGGTCCGCTGCGCCGCCCTCCCTCCGGCCCCCAGCAGGGCAGGCACTCCGGTTCCGGGTTCTGCTCTGGGTTCCGCGGCCCTCGGCCTGGGGCCACAGAAGGGCGTCCCTAAGCCCTTTCTTACCTTCCCTCCAGCCCTCTCACAAAAGGCTTCCCTGTTTCAACTCTGGTTATTGAAAGAGTAGGCATTCTATTGCAGAAACTTCTTAGTATTCTAAACACTATGAAGACAAAATCATCACTCGGATAAGCACTTTTAATCTCTTCGGTATATATACTGATACCATCTTCATCAATCGGCATATATGAAGATACAGTGCCATATGTCTTATGAAATTATAGCATACTAAGCACATATTTTACAATCTCATCTTCGCACATAAAATATGTAACAGGCATCTTTCCATGTTGGTGAGACATACTTACATCATTCTCATGGCTGATCGGTTTTCCAATATATAGAGTTATAACACAAATGACAATTTTAGATGATTTCCAATTTTTTGCTATTATGAACAAAATGAACATTTTTGTACAAACTAGTTTTGCCTATTTACCCAATTATCTTCTTGCATTAAATTCGGAGGTGAAGTGCTGGTCAATGAAGGCACATTTAAAATCCTAATAAATATTCTCAAACTGGCCTGCAGAAAGCTGCATGAACACTCCAGACCATAAGCAACACTGAGTATTAGCAATCTGATTTATCTGTAGCATTCTGCCAGGCAAAAAAAAAAAAAATTTCAACTTGCACTGTATGTGAATTCCATTTTATGTCCCTTTCATCTTTTCATTAAGTTTATTTTATTTTTTTTATTTTAAGATCTCTAGCAAGAACATCAACCCTCTGTCCATTACATGTACTGTAAATAACTTCCTCAGTTTATCATGTGACTTTTTACATTGTTTTTAGTGCTCTTTGCCCTTGGGAAATATTGAATCTTTTTATGTCAAATCTATTGACCTTTTCTCTGCTACTTCTAGGGTCATGCTTTCAAAGTCCTGTTTCTGACTTTAAATGTTATCTGTTTTTATGACTTAGTTGTTTGACTCAATTGAAATCTTTTTTGGAGTACTGAATACCCAGCTGATACACACAATTCACTAAATTCACTTTTCCACTAGTCTGAAATGTCAATTTTATTTTAAACAAAAATTCTCATTTTCTCATGAATGTTTCCTGACCCTCTCTATATTTTCTACCACTGCCCTATCTTGCACCTGTACCAGTGATTTAATATCTATATTATATTTCAATATTGAATAGGACAATCTATCAGAACTTCTCTCATTCTCTCACAGATACTGCTCCAGATGAACTTTAAAATATTTTGTCAGAGTCTAAAAATAATCTTCCTGGAATTTTGATGGGAACTGTCACCACCCTCACATATTACATACTTACACTTCTCTGTTTACTGTCTAGCTCTAACCACAATAATGTAAGTTAGAGGAAAGGAGTTCTTACCTGTTTCATACACCACTGTACACCCAACATTTAAAACAGTATCTGGCATGCAATTGGTTTTCAACACATTTGTTAAATGAATATATGAAATGTATCAATTGCAAGATAATTTCAGGATATTTAAAATATCTACATTAAATTCTCTCACTTATTCAAACTATATTTTTATGACTGTCAATAAATCGTTCAGCTCTGTTCTTGGGGACTTCACATAATATACAATATCTTGAAATCAGCCAAGTTACTGAATCTCTCTCCTGAAATCATTTTTCAATTGATCTTTTATGTTTCTTATGTAGAAAATCTTACTATCTTCATGTACTGTAATTATGGCTCTTACTCTTCAAGGTTTATGCCATTTATTTAACTGGCATTGCATTTGTTGTCATTTTCAAAACACTGCTGAGTAACAGTGGTACTAGCAAGCATCTCTGTCTTATCTGTAACTAATAAGGAATGCTCTAGACCAGTGATTCCCAAATTCTTTGTCATTAGTGCCCCCAAGAGTCTTTTAGGTTTTTTTCCCTAATTGCTCTAAATGTTATGAATAATATAATAAATATACTATATATCTGTATTATACACTATATATCTTTACTTTATATGTCAAGATTTATTTTGTCTGCTCAAGAACTACTGACAATACATGCTCTAACATTTCACCATTAACATGATGTTTGCTATTAATACTTTACTGTGCACACAAATTATCTACTTTTAGTTTCTTGGGATTCTATTTTTTAAATTAGGAATGGATATTAAATTTTATTAGTTTTCATCATCCTTCAAGATATTTTTTCACCTAATACAGCAAATAAAAGTAATAAATTTCTAAGTACTCAATTACTCTATAATCTAGGAATAAACAGTACTCAGTTCCATGTTCTAGTCACTCCTGGATTTGATTTGCTAACATTTTATTTAGGAGTTCTACATCTCTAATTTTACTTGTAACTGGTCTAAAATTATTTTTTCTTGTATCGTTTCTGTGTTTTTTGGTATCTAGACACATTTAGCATTTCAATATTATTGGGCAGTTCTATATCCACAGCAGTTAGGTTTCACTTACAGAAAGAACGTGAAGTTTCCCATACTTGTCATCTTATAGTAGCTTAAATAGTATAGGAATATTCTGTTTCTTGTACGTAGCTTCTACAGCCATCTATTTATAGTGCCTTGTTGGCTATGATTATTTGGGAATTTCTTTCACGCTTATATGTCCATATGTCTTAAAATGTATGTCTATATTTTGAGAAAGTCAAAAATGTCATTTTGATTTTCAAATTTAATATGCTACTTTTATGTATCACTGTAGTTTTTATCATCTTTTTCATTCTGTCTTGAATATGGGTATTTTCTCAGGGTTAGATGTGGCAATCGACAATTGTTTTACTAGTTTTTATAAATAACAGTCTTTGATGTAAGTTGTCAATCGTATTTTCTTTTTTCAGAAGAACCATGATCAAGTTCATCATTTTCCACTTCAGTATCAACTCCTCTCTGCATTTTGCTATCTTCTTCCTACCTTTCTGGATTGAACACTTAGTCCATTTGTTTCCATTCTCTTTGTTTAATAACATTTAGAACCACTATTTTTCCTACCTGTAGCTTTGATCATATAGCATTATTACATAAAATTATGAAAAGCCACTGATTTAGACTTAGTTGCTGCACTTCACCCAACAGAGAAACTCAAAATGAAGTCACTCATGCTAGGTTTCCAAATCACAAACGAAAATCTAAACTGTTTACCTGTAATATCTGACGTTGCAGGAAATCTTGAGGAATGCATTAAAGTTTCTTTTATGGAATCTCTTTATTTACTTATTCAGTGAGCTTCCCTGATGCACATTTTAGATCAAGAGCCAGAAAACTGATTTAGTGGGAGAGATCAGCATGGCGATGGGAGGCAGGCCTGGATTACAGCTCCATAAAGAGCTGCAGAGGCTCACCTTGTGGATTTTAGCTCCTGATTCAACTGCAAGAACAAACCAGCAATCTCAGACCCTCCGAAGGAAGTGTACTGCTCTTGCAGGACCTGGGAGACACTGCAAATACTGTGAGTGCCCTAACCGCAGAAGTGGGAAAGGCTGACCCTCTTCTCCTGAACACTCACCTCCACTGGAGAAGCTGAAGGTCTGTTTGCGGGGGAAGTTTCTGACTTTACCTGGAGCTGACTCAATATGGAGAGGCGGGTGAAATACAGGGGTAGAGGAAGCAGCAGAAAGGCTCTGGGAGCTTGCTGCGTTCCCAAGCATCCCATTCCTGCCTGGCACCACAGGGATACATCAGGAGGGTGGCCTGAGGAGCAGGGGTTAAAACCCCACAGGGAGAAGGAATTCTCTAGCTGAATTTTGTAACAATTTTGAATGGGGTGAGAAGCCTCCTGGCCAGAACTCGGTGTAGGGGAGGATGCAAATCCCCTGTGCAGACTCCAAAGGCCCTTTTAGTTTGCAGCTGGAAGGCGGGTAGTCTGAGGCAGATTTTCAAGCCTATCTTGCCCTCTACCTGGAAACAAACTCAGGGCTGCTGGTGAGGGGGCACAGTGAGAGTGAGACTGGCTGTTCTGTTTGTGTAGAAGCTGAGTGAGGCCTGTGACTGCCAGCTTTCCCCCACTTCCCTGACAACCTGCATGACTCAGCAGAGGCAGCCATAATTGTCCTAGATACACAACTCCAGTGACCTGGGAATCTTAACCCATCCCCTGCAGCAGCCACTAACGGACCCACCAAGGAGAGTCTGAGCTCAGACATGCCTGACCCCCACCCGATGGTCCTTCCCTACCCACCTGGGTAGTGGAAAACAAAGGACATACAATCTTAGGAGTTCTAGGGCCCCCACCTACCAGTGGTCCCTCTCCACACTACTAAAGCTAATGCTTTCTGCAAAGTACCACCTCCTGGCAGGAGGCCAACTAGCACAAAAATAGAGCATTAAACCACCAAAGCTATGGACCCTCACAGAGTCCACTGCACCCTCTGCCACCTCCACTGGAAGAGGCACTGGTATCCACGGCTGAGAGACCCATAGATGGTTCACATTCTGGGCAGACAACTCCCAGTACCCAGAGCCAGGCAGAATTGCTGGGTGGCTAGACCCAGAAAAGAGACAACAATCAAGTAGTTTGGCTCACAGGAAGTCACACCCACAGGAAAAGGGAGAGCGTGCTACGTCAAGGAAATACCCTGTGGGACAAAAGAATCTGAACAACAGCCTTCAGCTCTAACCCTTCCCTCTGACAGAGCCTACCCGAATAAGAAGGAACCAGAAAACCAACCCTAGTAATATGACAAAATAAGTCTCTTCAGCACCCCCCAGAAAGTCACACTAGTTCACCAGCAATGGATGCAAACCATGAAGAAATCCCTGATTTACCTGCGGGGTGGGGAAATATCCAAGAGGTCTGTTATTAAGCTGATCAAGAGGGACCAGAGAAACGCAAAACCCAATGCAAGGAAATATATATTAAAAAAAAAAAAAAAAAGGCAGGCGCAGTGGCTCAAGCCTGTAATCCTAGCACTTTGGGAGGCTGAGGAGGGTGGATCACGAGGTCAAGATATCGAGACCATCCTGGTCAACATGGTGAAACCCCATCTCTA